CTGTGATCATGAAGCCAGGTACCTGAGGGTTACATATTCAATAAGAACATGATTACCCTGAGACCTTGTCCCCAACACAGATGCAGATGAAAAGAAGGTAATCTTGTTCATCTGCTGTTTTCTTGTTTAACCTGAGGGGTGACTCAAGGGTCACAAGGATTTATGAGCTTGTTTTGCAGAAGGAAAATAATGCCTTTAAGGAAGTTGCCATCACCAGATAACCAGCCCCCAGGTACTGTTGATGCCCCAGAAGTCTTGTTGTCCAAGGGCTTATCTGGAGCAAAGGAAACACAGATTTCCCCTTTGTTTCTCCAAAACTCCTCCTCCCAAGCCTCTTCCCTCTATAAAGACCCCTACTTTCTTCTTCAGTGAGGCGGATTTGAGAGAACCTATCCTTCTGCCTTCTCGTTTTGGCCAATTCGAATAAAACTTTCTCCATCTCCAAGCACAGTGTCTCAGTGATTGGCTTACTGTACATCACTTCCACACGAACTTGAGATTGAGAAATTCGTATCAGTCATCCTGCCTCAGGGAAATGGACTTTACCAGGGGGCAGGCAGGAGGCACTATTGTGCCTTTTGGCACAGGAACATTTCATCGGTCAGCAGGGCTCTTCAAGATCGTTCCCTGAATCCACTTTCAGGCTGAAAGACGAAGGAAGTTCCCTTTAGGGAAATTGCACATGCAAACACACACACACACACACTCACATCCAGGCTTAAAGTTAAAAGTACTAATTAACAAATCTATTTTTCTTTTTCGACCAGAAGCTGATGAGCTAGGGTGTATATGTGATCAATATTAGATAGCTAATGTTGTGCTTGGTTCAGGGGGTTGGTGTGAAACATTATATTTAAGTTCCCTGAATGCTGTGGATCTCTGCATTAGTTACGTAGCATCACCTGCTGTAGCATAAACCCCTGAGTCTCTGTGTCTTAACACAAGAGAAGTTTATTTCTTGCTGACATTGAGTCTTCTGAGAGGGAACAGGTGTGTGAGTGTATGTGGTTCCTTTGGTCACTCAGGGATCCAGGCTCACGGATGCTCTGCCATCTTCTATACATGGCTTCCAAGGTTGATTTAAGCATCAACACTCAACCAGCCAAGACGGGAAGAGAGTATGATTCACCAGTGGGAGAGTTTTATGATCCAGACCTAGAAGTAGTGTACATCATTTCTGATAACCTTCCATTGCTAGAACTCAGTCACATAATCAGAACTTTCTACAGGTGAGGCTGGGAAAAGTAGACTAGTTGAACCCAGGAAGGATAGAGAAAGGTTGATTGGAATGCAATCAACACATAGCAATCTTTGTCACAGTCCAAATGTCTAAGAACAAATACGGTTTCATCGTTCTCCTCCATTTAGAACCACCTCCTTCTCTCTCCAAAGATCTCGGCTATCCCCGAGTCCAGTTCCAGGCCCCTGATTTCCAGATGATACAGTTCTCCCCATCATTCCAGATGTGGCTTCTCACGGGCTGCCAACCCATGAACTAAAGAAAGACAAGTTACCTGTCTCATCCCTGTCCACTCAGTATTCAATGATGAAGTCGGGACACTGCCACACAATAGCAATATTCACAATAACACTTCCATTCATAGAAAGGAAGAGTAGGAGCAACAGCTCACTGGATTAAGCAGTGATCAAACCCTGCTAGGCAAGCTTTATGAAATCCTTCTTTCTTGACAGTGGAGGAAGTTTTTTAATTAGAGCAACGTTCCTTCTTTGTTCATTGTTTTCTGTAGCTCCTGGCTCCATCAGCTAGAGGGTTCTTCCACATCCATTATCCTCCACCGCCACGTTTGAAGTAGGTGGTGGACAGTTGCCCTCCTTGGGGGGTTGTATAGGTTTAGTAGCTTACTTCCTGCTTATCAATTTGGGGGCCCAAAGGTTGTTTGAACAATCAAAGACAATTTTAGTCTTGTCTCTTGGTTTTCTTGGCAATCATCTCCCTCAAAAACTTTCACTCAGTTCCTGGTGCCTGTGAACACATCTGATGTTCCCTTCCTAAACATGATTATCACTCCTGATATATGCTTTTTGCTTCCTCACGACTTAATGGTTCTACCCTGACACTATCCTAGATAAAAGGCCCGGGTGGGAAGGCCACACCCTAAATCTGTCTTTCCCTCAGGGCTGAATCTTAATGGATGTTGTTCCTCAAATCCATCTTTCTCTTACTATTTGGGATCAAGAAGCAATAGGCTTGTATGTAGTATCAAGCCTCCAAATTCCTGACCTTTTCCCTTCCCTTTCATGTCTATTTGCAAACAAGCCATCTTTTTAACAACTAGGAAGTACCAGCCAACTTTTTTAACATTTAGACTGTTTGCAAACCTTTTCCTTAGAGCATGAGTTGGCAAACTTATTCTGTAAAGGTCTAGATTGTAAATATTTTAGACTTTGTGGCCCATACAGCCTTTGTCACAGCCACTGACTTCTGCCGTTGTAGTGCACAAACAGCCGTAGACGATACGGAGACAAATGGATGTGGCTGTGTTCCAGTGAAATTTATTTTAAAAAAGGAGGACCAGATTTGGCCTACGGCCATAATTTCCTGGCCCCTGCTTGCTATAACGCTAAAGGCTCAGTGGGCACGTGGTTGGCCTTCATGGTTTCACAGGTGAAAATTTTACTCTGATTATCACTTTTATTCTGTTGCACAACCACTAAACCAATGCAATATTTGGTAAGTTTTTTGTTAGTGCAGCCTTCCACTTCCAGTACCAATCGATGTATTAATTAAAATATTGTACTTTTCCCCTATCAGATAAACCCAGAAACGTCAGCATCTTAACCTGGTGGATGTTTTCTTTGTTGATGTGATGTCCATCCAGCTTGCTATAAAGGGTTGTTGGTGCTGGAGCACGCTACTCCTTGTAGATGGACATTCAGCTGTTAGAGCAAGAGAATGGAAATCACCTATGAGAGGGTTTTATGTGCCAGGTATGGAAATGTTTCATAGGACTTCTGCTCACATTCTGTTGACTGGAACATGGGCATACCTGACTCTCAGGAAAGCTGGGAAATGTCATCCAGCTTTACAGCCAGGAAGAAGTAGGCACAGATCTCGGTGAGCACACTGAATTCTCTGCCTCAGACCCTAAGTGAATATTAATGACTGAGGCTTTGCACACTAGCTGTGTGACTAGGCTCAGGACCCCTTTCACATTTCTTATAGGCATAAAATCAGAATTAAATGTACAAATTACATAAAGACGCCATGTTATCAAGCACTTTAAATGTCTAAAAGAATATAATAAATACCTGGATAACCCTTTCTCAGATTTATATACATTAACGTTATACCACATTCGTGACTCGGATTTATTTTAAGATATAAAACATGATATAGTTTGAGGCTCCCTAAGTTCTTCCTTCCAATTCCATTTCTCTTTCTCTTCTGTCACTATCATGAACCAGTGTTTATTAATCTTACGCTCTAGCATCACTTTTTTTATCACTAGAATTTGGTACTGCTCACTTTTCTGACCAGTTTACAGTCATAGACAGCCAAATCTCTTGTGAGATGAAAGGCATGGCATTCTGGTTAAACCATTCCAGGAGCGGGAGGCACAAAATCCTCCCTCAACTCTCATAACTAGTGTCCAGGGACAGCAGCCTCTTGAGGGTAGAGAAGAGGGAGATATGAAGGTAGAGAGGTAATCACAGGTCAGGCCATCATGGGACTCAAGGGTTGCTGAAGGGTTATATTCTGAAAACAATGGGGAGCCCCATTTATTATTAGGCACACTCAAAGTTGTACTTTAGAAGGATAATTCCTGTAGCTATGTGAGGACTGCCCACAGCTGGGACAGACCCTCGCCATAATGCTGGGGAGAGACAGTATGGGCTTTCACTGAAATGGTGGCCCCTGTTCTTGGCATGGACCTGGAGGGCTCACAAGTGTTCTTTCTTGCTGCTTCCAAAAGGATTGCCCTCCAGTTTGGCCTAGGGGTGCCTCAAGCAGAAGCTGCTGATGCTTTCTAGCATTTTGACCTGGACCTTTTTAGCTAAGTGGTAAAAAGTCTCTCTCCGTCAGGACTGTAGCTCTTCTGCTGGACTCCCAAGCACCTTACATGCATCATATTTTCTAATCTTCACAGCAGCCCTGGGTGGTAGTTACCATTTTTACTCCATTTAACAAGTGAGGACAGTGAGGCCCAAAGAGGCTGAATAGCTTATCTGAGATTCCTGGGAAGAGCCTGAGCGGGATTGTTTTTAACTGATGTCTGACTCACCATCTTGCCACATTACCAGTCTCAGGGCACAACAGCTACTGTTTATTGAGGAATTGCTATGTCCCAGGCACAGTTCTAAGCCCTTTCCGTGTATTATTCCAGTTAATCATCAACAGAGCCCCCCGAGGCAGACAGTATTCTCATCCTCATTTTATAGTTGAGGGAACTGAGGTCCAGAGAATTTAAGAAACTTGTTCAAGATGACACGTCTGGTCAAGACGATTAAGCCAACCTAGCACTGGAGCCAGTGCTCTGTACCACGTCTGATGGGAAGGCAATTATTTGATTTCCAAGAGTATAGGGAGAAGGAAAAGGCTATGTTATAGTTTAAAGCATCTTACTACATGTTGTGTAATATAGCCCTAATTTCAGTGTCTCAAAATATCGTAGAGAATATAGCTTTAAGCCACACTCAACGCCAGATTTGAACGGACATGGCCGATTATCAATACCTACAATTTTGCTTCGGTCCTTGGCCAAAATGACTTCTTAGTGTGGCAGAGTCATCACTGCAGGGCTGGGTTGGGAGCTGGAAAGGCAGGGTTCTAATCCTGGTCCTGCCGTGAACAGTCTCTGTGATCCTGGGCGGGTCGCTTTACATGCGTGGGCTCTGGTTTCCTCATCTCAAAAATTCAAGAAATGGACTAGAGAGTCTTCAGTGTCCCCACCCGCTCTGTGATCCTCTCTTTGCTTTTCTTTCCCATGACATCAGAAAATGACTTCAAAAAGTGACAGAAAATTTAAATAAAGAAATACTTTTAGAAATGAATCCAAATTATTTTTAATATTTCCAAAGGTGGAGACAGGTAATATTTACAGAAACACTAGGAATTATATTTTGAGATTCTTTCTACAAATGTTATAAAAATACACACATGTAAGTCACCTGCTTGTACGCGAAAAAATTCCTTCTGGTGGCTAGCATCGTTATTAAAAAACAAGATTTAAATACATTAGTTAAACAATATGAGTGTGAAACAAGTGCATAAGCAGGAAGGGTAAATCTTTAAAAGAAATCAACTCGTGAAATAGTTTCAGTATATACCCTCTTGAGAGAAATCACAGATTTCGGAGAACATGGACAGACAAAAAAGAAGACTGATACAGAGAGGATTCTAGAAAACAGCAGGTTTTTTTTTTCCTCTCATGGCTAATTCTTTCTAAAGGAGCTATTTCTTTACACAAATATATTGTGGATAAATGTAAATGTGCTTATTAAGTTGTCATAATTGCTTTCAAACCTTTTTCAAATCAAACTCTCTCCAAAGGAGTGGATCCAAGCTTGGGGCGCAGGGTGACAGTTTTTTCTGCTTCCCAAAGGGTTTTGCAGGAGCCTGACAGCGTTTATTCAATTTGTTTAATGATAGACTAGATGTGGGCTAATTTCCACAGGCCCACATTAACATTGCTAGCTTTTGCCCTTAACCAAAGGGCGTGATGGTAATAGCTGGGAAATCTTAACTTCCGTCTGCACCGAGCAGTTCAGAGAGAAGCACCCTGTCTCCGTACTCCGAGTGACAGAGGAGAGCCGAGGGGGAACTGAGGCCTCCACTTCTTGGACTGGCTGGCGTTGCTGAGGGCAACCAGCCGCAAACATCCTCTCACAGAGTTTTCCTACGCCTGCCTTTCAATCTTACTTCCCTTAAGGAAGCCGCTGTTGAGTTTCTTACTAAAATCCAGGCACGGTGCTAGGCATTGAGGCTACAGTCATGAAGAGGATGCTAGCTCTTGAGGGCTCAAGAGTCCAGCACAACAATGCTGCAGCTCTTACCTTCAACCACTAGCCTCTCATGTCACCCCTCTGAGCCTACGTACCCCCATCTCTAAGAGGAGAGGATTGCCTGAGAGGATTTCTAAGATTATAAAGCAGGAAAGCAGTCACGTAAAGTAAGATTGAATAAAACTTGTGGAGCCAGGCCTAGGACACAGGGTTAAGTGGTGACAGGCTCCCGCTCCTGCCCTCAGTTCCTGCAGCTCCCGCTCTGCCAGGAGAGCAGAGGTCAGCAGGGTCTCCCACAGCTGTTTGCAACCTGAGCACATGGGACACACACAGACATTTTGGGTATCTTGGTCCTTCAGGACAAGGGCAGGCAGCCCACAATGTCAGCGTTCTTTATTCCTTCATGTCACCGAAGGAGCAGTAGCTGGGCCCCAGACCTCGCACGGTGCAGTCAGTGCTGTCGCTGTTACATTTGCCACAGTGACATGCAGTGGCCACCGGGTACGTGTACAGGGAGTCCGCGTGGTGAGCACAGCCAGGCACTTTCACTGTCTCGTACACCAGCTCCTTGAAGGTGCATGTTTTCTGGATGTTGGGCCGGGCTGGGTCCTTGTACACCAGGTCCTGAGGAGTTTAGGAAGGAGAACCTTAGGTTACAATATTCTGGAAGTTTCTGTTTACTTAATCAAAATGCAACAGGCATTTAATTCTGCTTGTTGTAAGATGTACCCATTACAGCTCACTCATGGAATTCTAACCAAGCAAACGTGGTCTCATGAACGACCTTCATGCTCTACCACGTTTCTTGTTTGTTCTGGAAATCTTAGGGAAAATATCAGTCATTCCTCTTCCTACTCCTTATGTCTGTATCAAAATATTAGTTATTTTTCGAACTGTAGAGAAACTTTGATTAGAAAAGAAACTTCGATAGAGAAAAGTGATGAAAAGGGAAATACGACAGAAATTTTAAGTCAACTTTTTGTACTTAGTCAAAAGCTGTATTAATGATACCTTGAACCGTAAAACACTGAAGTTTAATTTCTCAGAAAATGTTTCCAAATACATTGTCCCTGTGTGTTTATAAAAAGTGAAAAAAAGGCATGATACGAAATGTTAATGCTTAGCTTAACATGCCTGTAAAGGCTCACATAGGACTGTAAGTATTCCACTGTCTTGTAGACATTTTCTCCCCTTAAATGCGGTATATTTTGTGGGGCTCTCACGTGCTTTGCATATAAGAACTTTTAATCCAGGCAGAACAGGTTTGTTCCGACACTTTCTAGTGAGAAAATTATCTGCACTGAGGGAAGAAATTGTTGCTGCCGTATAATTTACTTCACTATCGTGCTGCCAAGTATATATCCTAAGAAGGTGCAATAAATCGTGCAATAAGCAGAGTTTGATCACTCATTTACCACCCGGTGAAGTATATTTCATTAAAAAGTTGCTATTTTTAATTTCAGTTTATAGAGTGAAATTCTGCATAGATAACCAGGTGCTATAGGGAAAAAAATGAAAGAAAACAAAGTAGAAACTGCCCCTCTACCTGGATGAATGCAAAGAAGCTGTGCGCATACAAGCTAGCAGTATCGCGCCTCTGTGCCCTGCTTTTCTCAATGGGATGAAGAGCTGAGCGGGTTTGCTAATCATTTTGTTTCTAACTGTCAGAAGGGGTTGCTGGTGTTCCCAGGCTGCTTGTTGGCATTTGTATTCTGGCGGGCCAAGAAGACAATTTTTATAATGTGGCCCTTTATGTTTTTATGTGTCTTGGAAACATATTTTGGTACTATCCCTATTGCAAGATATGGCTTCAATTGCAGAAATTGGCTTTTTGGAAATATTGTAGATCTTCTATCATTAAATATATGTGTATTTATGTGTTTATCTCTCTGTATGTAAAATCTAGCATAGAACTACTCTTTTTTTGCAAAAGCAGAGTTGGCATATTACCATATTGATCAGATCAAATCTGAGACTTCCCTGAGTTTCCCTTCATCAAATCCATGCCCGGACATCTAACTGACGTCATCACAATCAACCCCAATCACAACATAGACGCTGTTGGCTAAGGGACTCAAGTCTGTCATTCAGGAGAGACAGAATATTGGCAAAGTAGGAATCAGGGCAAGTTGCCTCGTCCGGACTCTCAGTACCCTCACGTCAGCAAGGCCGAGTCCCTACCCGGGTGTAGCAGTAGCCCGCACACCAGGTGGTGTTGATGCTTATGCAGAAGCCACATTCCTCCTTCTCCACGGCGATGGTGATGTTGGTCAGCTCACAGCTATTGCAGCAGACTGCTTTCCAGCAACAGAAAAGGAAACAAAACTGGACTGACTTCATCTTGGGCTGGAAGCGAACAATTAAGGCCTATGAGAAACCGAAAACCAAAGACTTACGATCATTGTATAAGCTGACCAAACCAAAAATACTGGGTTTACCCATCCTCCCCAGTCACATTTTGCTCCAGCAAGTTTTTTCTTTCCTTTTTCTTCTCTTTGCTTCTCTGTTTCCCGAACAAACATTTCTTCTTATCCTTCTCTTCCTTTATGTTTTTTTTTTGTCAAAGTATAAACACATTAGAGGTCAAAACTGCAATATGATGGTTTAAGCAAAGCAGTATTTGAAGAGCAGGCATTGCTGCCGACGGTGTGAAAGTGGTCACTTTGAAGCAAGTAATTGTGATCATCATATTTGTCCCTTCATTGTCATTTTTAAAGATTATTTTGGTTTAAAAAGAAAATTGTGTAGTGCTAAATTAGTTCACCATTTTTAGTATCTCATAAATATTATCATTTACTTTTGCCTGCGTTTGTTTTAAACAGGACCGTTTCAGAGGCCAGGTGAATCGGTCTATGTAAAGCCCATTGCTTGCTAACGATGATTATGCTGTATTAACCATGTTTAAGAAACCAGATTGACAAGCACAAATCCCCTACCTACCGGCAGTTGAAAAGTTCTGGATTTGCTCTTCAGATCCTGAAAAATCTGTAATTTCAAAAACAGTTGTCACCACTTGATAGTTAGAGATGCCGCGACTCACCTGTGGTCAGCTGCCTTGTCTGAGGAAAGCTGTGGTGTGAGTCGGGTCTCAGTTCACCTTTTATACAAAATCGTGTGCAACCAAATAACACCTTGTGGATTTGTCGGGTATTAATGAGGCCCGTGTTAGTCCAAACAGCTGTAAGAGGATCGGTGTTGACAGACGGGGAGATCAAGTCTTCCTGAAATAGTCTAAACGCAGTCGATCGGGAAAAAGAACGTTACCAGAGACGGTGATTTTGTACAAATTACATTTGGTATGGGAGCACACCCACTCCTTTACCTTGTCAAGTTAAATGTGATGCTAGATTTTTCTTTTGTATCTTTAACAGGGGGAATTCAGAATCATTTCCAAATATTGCTTTAGCCTGTTGAGGAGGTGCGTGAAAAAGACATGGTTAATAAGTTGCTCTGAGAACCGACTGAAAACTGTAAGGGAAAAAACAAACAAACAGAAAGTCTTTTATGATCTGACTCCTATCTAAAGTGTAAACCATATTTCTCTTTACTTCCCACATCTAGATCCCTAATCTCAACGGTTATTCTTTGGTGCTTTACTTGTAATTCTCTAAGTGTTCTGCTGATCCATTTCTCCAGATCTCTGCATGAGCAATGTTCGTCCTGCCTGAAATGTCCTTGCTTCCTCCCTGTGTCCCCCAGGGCCATTCCCACCCCTGGCAAATTTCTCAACCTTCAACACTCACCTGCCAGAATGTAGGCCGGGAGACGGAGGAGAGCTGTAATCGCCGCCTTCTGTTTGTAATCATTTGTGCACCTCTGTTTCTCCCAGTAGACTACCAGCTCGTTGGAGACTGGGGTTGATTTGTTTAACAAAAATGTGTTAATCAAGCAGTATGGCTGAAGAAAAGGAGCCGTGTTGGAAACATTAGGACACACTGTCAGAGATGTAACAGGAGTCAAATCACGTAGGACCTTTTAGGTCAATGTAAGGACTGGTTTTTACTCAATGTGAGATGGGATGAATTGCAGGATTTTGAGTAGAGGAGTGACACGATCCCATTCAGTCTAAAAGGATCCCTCAGGCTGCTGTGTTGCTAATCTAGAGGAACAAAGGTGGAAACAGGAAGAACTATTAGACGCCATTACAGCAACTTGGGTGACATTTTATATTTGTTCAGACTAGTGTGGTAGCAATGGAGGTAGCAAGACATGATCTGACTCTGGATATATTTTCAAAGTAGAGCTAACAGAATTTTCTGATGGATGGATGTTGAGTGTGAGAAAAAAAGAGTCAAGGATGACTCTAAAGATTCTGGTCTGAGTAACTTGCAAGATAAACTTGCTGGCAACTGAAATGGGATGGCTGTAAATGGAGTAAGTTGTGGGAAAAGACAAGGAGTCTAGCATGGACATGTTGAGCTAGAGTTGTCTATAAGATATCTAAGTAGAATGCTGAATCTGAACTTTGGGAGAAATATGCTGGCTGAAGATATAAATTTGGGAGTCATTGACATGAGCCTAGAAGAGATTACCAATGAAGTGGATGTAGATAGAGAAGATAAAATGACCAAAAGTTGAGTCTGGGATACTCCAACATTAAGAGATCAAGGATAAGATGAAAGCTTTTTTTTCTTTTTCCAAAGAAAACTGAAAGGGCCATTGAAGAAAGAAGGGACTGGAGAAAACGTGGTGTCCCAGAGGCCAAGTAAAGAGAGTGTGTCAAGAAGGAGTGAGTGACAAGTGTGCCAAATGCTGCTCACAGGTAACATAAGATAAGGACCATGAATTGCACAATACCTGTGGCAGTGTAAAGGTCCCTAGTGTACTTGGCTAGAGAAGTTCCTTTGGAGTGAGCAGAACAGAACCCTGATTGGTGTGTGTTTAAGTGATTGGGAAGAGATGAATAAAAAATAAGTTGACTATAGGCAACTTTTCCCAGAAGTTTTGATACAAAGATGAACAAAGAAATGAGTGATTTGGTAAAAAGTGGAAGTGGGGTAAAGATAATTTTCTTTTGATTTTTATGTTTTAAGATGGGAGAAATAGCTACATGTGTGTGTGGTGATGCAAATTATTGAGAGTAAAACATGATGATGTTGGAGGAAGAGGAGAAGTTCTTGAGTAGGTGAGAAGAGATGGGTTTTAGGGCACAAGTAGAGGGACTGGCTTTAGACAGGAGGATGGAGAGTTATCCTGTTATCAGACAGGAGTCAGAGCTTGTAGGCGCAGATGCTGTGGGTGGGGAGGTGTGGTGGGTGCAGAAGATGGTGGGTAGTAGGTGTGGTCAGTGGTAGGTGCGGTAGGTCTGTGCAAGTTTGCCTCTGATTAATTTCACTTCCCCAGTAAAGTAGGAAGTAAGGTCATCATCTGAGAATAAGGATGGTGGATGAATTGCTGAGGGTTTGTTCAGAGAAAAAAAGATTTGAATCACTGTCTGAGACTGAGAGAGGGACTGAGTTAGCAGTGGGTTAGGCATTGTATAATTGCGTACCAGCATTAAGGGCCCACTTGATGTTTACGGTAAGAAATTTAACATGAGACCACTCAGCCTGGATGTGCATTTTTCGTCTGCCCAATTTAACAGCAGGATTTCAGGCCCATAGGTGACAATAGTTGGATTCTCTAGGGTTATGATTCTCTCAAATATGTGATGAAGATAAAACAGCAAAGCACTGGGAACTGTAAGTACTAATTCACCATTTACGGAGGTGACATCTGGAATGTAGAAATGTTTTGAAATCTGTTAATAATGGACAATTAAGCATGTCAAAGTTATAGAATAAATAATTAAATTTCTTATAATACATACTAAATGAAATATATTCATGATTTCTAGAAAATTGGAAGTCCTTTCAATATTTCTAAAAGAATACTAACAATGTTATGACTATTAGCTACACCTTGTATTGTGAAATTAACTCTTTTTATGTTATCTATGTGTTTTCACAAAGTATATTTACGTGAATATATGTGAACTTATGTGTTTTAATGGCTAATGTAGTGCAGTTGTATTAATTTCTTACATATTCACTTCAAAATATTAACAGCTCCATTTTATCCAGCACCCACTATGCCCCAGGCACTTAACTGAACACTTTGAATACATGGTCACATATAATCGTTACAATAGCTGTTTAAAGCAGGTACTATGTCCGCTCTTCGAGAGGTGGGAAAACAGGATCAATGACTTGCCTAAGACTATGGAAGCTGGAAGCAGCAAGGCTGGGGTCGTATCCGGGTCTGTTTGGCTCCAAAGCAGCGGGCTACCCGTTGAGCTGTGCTGACCTCAGTGGTTTCTAATTCTCACCAGTCCCATTACTTGGAGAGGGACCGAGACAGAGACAGAAGCCATCCACAATCTGGGCAGATATTCCAAATGCTCGTGTTTATACTTCCATCCACATTTAGGTTAGAGGTCCCTCCAAATAACTCTATTTTCCTTGGCCTGTCACGAGGCCACTCATTCTCCCAATTCCATGCCTCTTACAGCCTAGTTTATCTGATTAGCATATTTCCTAGTTAGGTGCCATTGCTCTCACGGAGGTTGTTGAAATGTTTTATTGATGAAAACTTAGAGATCTTTCTTGTTCACCTTTGTGTCCCTAATAGGAATAGTGTTTCCAATACACAGGAGGCATGAATACACTTTTGTTGAACAAACTGTGAAACATCTGCTCCAGTTTGCTGCTGTGCTGTGCTGGTCCACAGGCTGCTTGTGCCCTGGTGCGTTCCTTGCTCTCCCCTGGCCTGCTCTCTGTTTTGTGAGGAAAGGACTCCGTGGCTGCCTTTCCCAAGCTGCCCTGCCTGCAGGCTTTTGCCTCTGTGCAGGGAGGTTGGAGAGCGAGAGGCAGGAAGTCGGAGTATTTCTCTCCTTACACTCTTCTTTTCTGAGCAGTAGCTGCATCTTCTCCCTGGGTCCAGGTCGCAGCAGACAGCACCTCCCTCCGTGTTTCCAGCTTTGGTGAGGAAACCTGTGGCGGCTTGAACTTCTGCCGGGTGGTCTCACCTCTGGCTCTGGAAACCCCACACGTGTCCCTCCAAGCCTGACGTAAATGGGGCTCCCGGCTGTTGCTGGTCCATGGCTTGCCTCGCTTCCCCGTCTGGCTTCTCAGCAATCCTAACACTTGGGTCATCAATTCCCTGGATTAGATTCCCTCTGTTTTACGTATAGGAGAGGCTTCTGTTTCCCTGGTTGGAGTCTGACAGATCACACTGAGCTTTATTTCTAGCTGTCTATTGTGCGGTTTAGTGTGGTAATACTAACTCAATATTTAACAAACTGTTGAATGTTATCCGGGGGGACCCTATGTCAAATTCTCATTTTACTGGCTTGAAGCACCTCCCCACTTCCCAAAATCACATGCGTTGTTTCCCTCCTCCTTGTGGGGAAAAAGTTCTCTTCCCTAGGCCCGAGGTATGTTTCTCACCTCCTTTCCATCTGGGCTACGCCTACAAGCGAGTCTACAGGCTTCCTGTCCGCGAAGGCGCTCCCCGCTCCGCTGTGCACAGGCTCCCCCACTCACCCTCGGCCCAGCATTCTCTGTCCTGGGCGTCCCCAGTTCCCAGAGCCCGCCTCGGCGTGAGTGCTCGTCACAGTGTGTTTGACGTGCACACGGACTTTTCTCAAGAATTCTGTGACCCACCATCGTCAACTGCATGCAGACCCCTAGAATTTCCACCTGGATATACACTTAATGACCTCCTTTCATTCATAAAGAATTTTTTCCAAATCATTCCTTTATGTTCAGGTTTAAAAATAGGAAATTTAATACCTGTGCTCATGTCTTGATGAATTACCTGCCCCTTCCGTGGTCTGGTCTCCTTTCTTCTTTTTATTTTGCCCATGTGATGTTTGTAATGTAAATTTAAAAAAACGTTTAATACATTTAATTTTCTTTTTAATTTAAATTTATCCATTTGAGTCACTTAAATTTATTTTAATTATTTAGATTTATTTCCTTTTTTAAATTACAAAGTAATATATAAAATATATGCTGTACTATTTCCATAGA